ACGATGTGGATCAGGGCATTGCGCCATCACACGTTGTATGGGTTGTTCTGGATGACCACAGTCGCACACTGCAGCGTTTTTAATTTTCCATTTGTGTATTGGGTATCCGCATCTACTGCCATGGTTTGCACAGTGGATGCGATTTAGGGTGGAACATGAGCCTCGTGGAAGATCAAACGCAGGGATCTTCTGCATTGGGTCTTTCAAAAGGCGTTCAGTAACCAAGGGTTTATGTGAAACATCATGCTTTTCCACTGTGTCTGTGTCCCACGACCAAATACTAAACCAGTTTCCTTAGATCAGGTTCACTAAGGGTAAATGTACGCGTACCAAATACTTTTTCTGGCATGTTACAATTGAACAGAAGCTAGTTATTATATACCAACCAATAGATTTACAAAAGGGATCACTCTTAGTTTGGTCACTCTTAGCTTGGTAACTCTTAGTTTGGTTACTCTTAGTTTGGTCACTCTTAGTTTGATCTCGAGGGCATGGGGAGATACTCGTGGCTTCGGTGTGCAAAGTCAGCACAAGCCGAGTGAAGTTCACGTCTCATGGGAATGTTTTCCACATCACACAAAGACCTTTTTTTTTCGTGCGAAAGTAACAAAAACCGCCATAAATGAGGGCACAATTGAGATGACTGAAATCTCTCTCCGATTGTTTTCTTGAATGGTATTCACCAATTATACTTAACGTGTCACCAGCCGCTGCTGGCCAACTCCAGTGTCAATCGTGACTCACTACTACGACTCTTTTTATTTTACCAGGTAAGGCCCGCTGACTCTTTTTTCAGTCGGGTCCTGCCAAGTTTTGGTGGGGAGCGATACTGCTGCTCTGTATGTGATCCCAATTGAGTAATTTTCAGATAATTTATGAGCATTGCGATGTTGTGTGCTGTGCATCACTTGATACCACGGACACCACTTGCAACCATGGGATTATCCAGGTGGAACAGCATTTTAGCGAACACAAACTAAAATGTTTCATATGAGGAGATGACTTGGTGATGCTGCATTGGCAGTGGTGCACGAGCACAAATAACGAGAAAACTGAATGACATGAATCAGGGTCACCCGTGGCCTTCAAAGAAAAAAACACGATAGGAGACGTTTTGGGCTATTTGCCATGAAGAAGGCCATTGCCAGAAATGTCGCCTCGGAAATGTTTACTTCTAAACCCACGCGGTCTTATTGATCGATACTTGTACAGCAATATCTCGATATGCGAATGTTCGATATACGCATTTTCAGTATGCCCAGGTTGAGGTTTCGGTCTATGGGTGACCGAGATTTATCCCCTGTGGCCCCCAGGCTATGGAACGCTCTTCCACGAGGAATTAGGAATCTTTGAGTGCGTGGACATTTTAAAAATGCGCCTTAAAACCTATTTATATGCTTCTGCTTATTAAACGTTTAGTTATTTTAATAAATTGTTAAAACGTATTTATAATATTATTTTTGTGCTGAGTGTCTGTTGCTGATGTGTCCTGTACAGCACTTTGAGATCCTTGATGAAAGTGCTGTATAAATATAATTATTATATTAATGGTAAAAAATATATATAAGTAAAACAAGAAATAAATGTACAGAAATAGATAGGTGCTAATAATTAATTTGTTGTCCATCTATAGTACTACATAAATAACAATCGAATTATTATATGATCCGGTTTCTTGAGTGTTGTGCACCCCAATAGGTCACAGAATGTTTGTTTACAATCGTCTCGGCCAAGCAGCGTGCTCTAAGGAGCAGTGGCGTTTGGTGGACAATGTAACCTCACGACTGCGCCCAAGGCTACCCTGGCGAGTGTGAACATTTTTTAACGCACAGTACACTATGTTCTTTATGCCAAGTTTTATTTTTATTTTAATAGTATACAGTATGAAAAATACCTTATTTTCAACATAAATTGTCTTCCTTTACGATATGAATGGTGAGAGGTGTTATAGGATGAAATGGTAAGTTACGGAGGCTGGTGACGCATTCTCATAGGACGAACGTCACAAGCGAATACGATGTTTTGACATACGAACGAAGCTCCAGGCACTAATCTACTGCGTATATATATCGAGCTACGGTGGTATGTGCGTGTTTTACCTGTCCGTCCTGCAGTCGGGAAATTTCAGCAACTCCCTTGTGTCTCTATCAGTGGAGGTCGGGTCTTCCTCCTCTGTTGCACAATGTGCACACCAGCAACAGTAACAACAACACCGCGGCCGTCTAGAGCCCTTCCTCGGGAGCTCTGCCAGCATGGGCCACTGTGTGGGCCCCACACTCCGCGCCGACCGTTTGTACATTTTGCACTACGTGGGCTCTTCCACCCCCCCCCCCCCATAATGGACTCTCAGTTTATATATATATTTTATTACAAAACTGGCAAAATTAACGAAAAGATAAATATTTTAATGAAAATTAAATTATTTTATTTTACCAGGTAAGGCCCGCTGAGCCGCATAGTTATTTTCAGAAGCGACCTGGCCACAAATGACAGGTCAACGAAGTGGCTTGTCATGTGGAATCCACACGACCACGGGGAGAGAGACACGCAAACTTCAAATATACAGCAGCAGTCGTCAGGGTCGGGATTGAACCAACGACCTCCTGCATACCAGGCAAGGTAATTAACATCTCGCCAACCGTAGCGTCAGTCTGGGGCCAGCTGCCCAGAATATCTACACCTCTGGACTGGAGATACGATGAAGCCGTCAATCACGTAAATGCAAATGGCAACCGTTAGTGCGCTACTGCGCTATGGACTCTGGGACTATCGTTAGTAGCAAGCAATTACCCAAACCCGATCCTGCCATCTCCCTGCGCCCCCGCCCCCCCTCATTCACCAACCACACAGACCAGCGTGGTGAAGTACGGTCAATAAAACACACACAAGATTGACATGGTGTAGGGGAGGCCTTTGCATACGCTGGTCCGTTGAAAATGGCTTGAATATTTTTTATCTTTTAATTTTATTCTAAGTCCCGAGCATCAGATATGTCGTATAAGAGAGCAGTGCAAGCACATACCGTGCTGTTTTGAAACGCGCGGGTTTTCAGGAGTGTTGAATGCATCGAAATTGCCGTGACGAAGCCTGCATGAGACACACGAAAGCACGCAGACACAGCGCACACACACGGCACGCGTGCCACGACCTGTCCAGTGAGTTCAAAAGCAGGGAAACGAGCGACGCTGTTCAATCAGAGGGTTCCTTCCATTGTAGCCACGAAATAGTGCCCCTCAGAGCGAGGTGAAGGCACAGCCCTGCAATGGCGGTGCCGCGGGCGTGAGATGTTAACTCCCTCGCCTGGTCTACAGGAGGTCGTGTATTAGATCCCGACCCTGACGCCTGCTGCTGTATATTTGGAGTTTGCATGTCTCTCTCCCCGTGGTCGCGTGGATTTTTCCCCGTGTCCTTCGGTTTCCCCCCCCCCTCCCCCCAAATTTAGAAACACGTGTTGAGAGTATGTTGCTGTTATAAATGTCCACGCGATAAGCCACTTCGTTGAGCTATCATTTGTGGCTAGGTCACTTCTGAAAAAGAGCTACATAGCTCGGTAGGCCTTACCTGGTAACTGGTGGAAGGGCCTCTGAGAGGGAGCGCCAGAGAGCCTCCCTCTAAAGTGTATTTGGCCTACTCTTCCACGCTGGCCAGAAAAGCTGGGGGTACCCACACTCTACCTCACCACACGTGATTTGCCGATTGACTCATTGGAGATGGATAAACAAAGCAAATGGGTAAAAAGCATCTCTCTAATATAACTTTAAACGCTTCAATTAAATTGTATTTATAATTTTATCAGTGAAGGCTCCTGAGCTATATAGCTCTTCTTCTTGGTTCTTTCAGTAAAGTCACCTGAGGACGGCTGCTTGCATGTGGCCGAAACGTCGTGAGAATTGTATTGAATTTACCGAAAGAACCAGAAGATGAATCCCTGCAGTCACGAAAGCTTTAAATCGAAATTTATATAACTCTTTTTAAGAAGCGACCTGGCTATCACAAGTGATGTCTCAACGAAGTGGCAGCCACATTCTCTAAACGCGTGACGTTCATTCTAAATGTGGAGGGAACAACCGGAGGACCCGGAGAAAAGTCCACGCGACCACGGGGAGAGAGACGAGCAAACTTCAAATATACAGCAGCAGACGTCAGTCGGAATTGAACCCACGACCTCCTTCATACCTGGCGAGGTAGTTAACATCTCGCCACCGTGGCGCTCCATGCGTCCAACGCGACACTCTCCATATTGATCCACACAAGGCTTGCGTGCTGCCCCGAAGTGAGAACGCACGACTGCTGGCACACCACGGCGGTGCCAATGGAGAGCGCTGTCGCAGCGTTTCCTGCCCGCGAGCTCTCTCATTCACAAAGCCGTCAGCGTTGACACCGCCGCAACGCACAGCCTCCGTCATTTTCGAAGGCGTCTAATTTTTCCTTGGGTGTGCTGCTTCAACCGTTTCAATGCCCAAACGTCGCTATTGCGTCCCGGCGATTTTTCTTTTGTCTGGAGATTTCTACGAGCAATCTCGAGAAAGTAAGCGGCGCTTCACACGACGTGCCGGATGAAGCTAGTGCGGGGGGCCTGTAGCAAATGTTATAAAGGGGCCCTAAATTAAAAAAAAAACACGTAAATATTAAAACAATACATTTTTACTTGCACAGTAAAATAATTGTATTTTTTCATTTGCTATGCAGCCAGATAATACGACAAATCTCTAACCTTAAACACACAGTCGTTCATAAAGTTGAAGGCGGTATAGTATTATAGTAATAGGGCAAGTGCAGAATCATCGAACCGGAATTGATAGCTTGAAAGCATTTAGCGCGGGTCCCTGGAAATTGCGAGGCCCGTAGCCTTTGTCGTAGCTACTTGTGCTACTACGATAATCCGGCACTGTTCACACGACGTCTCTCGCGCAGACGCGGCAGCCACGCGGAGGCGCGTGGGTAAGCGCCTCGTGGCCTTTGGGCCAAGCCGGGCCTGCGAGGCCGCCTCGTGAACGTGGTGGGCGAACGTGTGAGGTGAACGTGATGGGTGACGGGTGAAAATGTCGGTGAACATATGTGGTGAACGTGGTGGATGTACGTGCGATTGAACATGACGGGTGAAAATGTGGGTGAACGTATGGGTTGAACATGGTGGATGTACATGCGGGTGAACGTGGTGGGTGAATGTGGTGTGTGAACGTGGTGTGTGAACGTGTGAGTGAACGTGGTGAGTGAACGTGGTGAGTGAACGTGGTGAGTGAACGTGGTGAGTGAACGTGGTGTGTGAACGTGGTGAGTGAACGTGGTGTGTGAACGTGTGGGTGAACGTGGTGAGTGAACGTGTGGGTGAACGTGGTGAGTGAACGTGTGGGTGAACGTGGTGGGTGAACGTGTGGGGTGAACGTGGTGTGTGAACGTGGTGGGTGAACGTGGTGGGTGAACGTGGTGTGTGAACGTGGTGTGTGAACGTGTGAGTGAACGTGGTGGGTGAACGTGGTGGGTGAACGTGGTGAGTGAACGTGTGGGGTGAACGTGGTGAGTGAACGTGTGGGGTGAACGTGGTGTGTGAACGTGGTGGGTGAACGTGGTGGATGTACATGTGGGTGTACATGGTGGGTGAATGTGGTGGGTGAACGTGTGAGTGAACGTGGTGAGTGAACGTGTGGGGTGAACGTGGTGGGTGAACGTGTGGGGTGAACGTGGTGGGTGAACGTGGTGGGTGAACGTGTGGGTGAACCTGGTGGGTGAACCTGGTGGGTGAACGTGGTGAGTGAACGTGGTGGGTGAACATGTGAGTGAACGTGGTGAGTGAACGTGTGGGGTTAACGTGGTGGGTGAACCTGGTGGGTGAACGTGGTGGGTGAACATAGTGGGTGAACCTGGTGGGTGAACCTGGTGGGTGAACGTGTGGGGTGAACGTGTGGGGTGAACCTGGTGGGTGAACCTGGTGAGTGAACCTGGTGGGTGAACGTAGTGGGTGAACCTGGTGGGTGAACCTGGTGGGTGAACGTGGTGAGTGAACGTGGTGGGTGAACATGTGAGTGAACGTGTGGGGTGAACGTGGTGAGTGAACGTGGTGAGTGAACGTGGTGGGTGAACGTGGTGGGTGAACGTGGTGGGTGAACGTGGTGAGTGAACGTGGTGGGTGAACGTGGTGGGTGAACGTGGTGAGTGAACGTGGTGGGTGAACATGTGAGTGAACGTGTGGGGTGAACGTAATGAGTGAACGTGGTGAGTGAACGTGGTGGGTGAACGTGGTGAGTGAACGTGGTGGGTGAACGTGGTGGGTGAACGTGGTGGGTGAACGTGGTGAGTGAACGTGGTGGGTGAACGTGGTGAGTGAACGTGGTGGGTGAACGTGGTGGGTGAACGTGGTGAGTGAACGTGGTGAGTGAATGTGGTGGGTGAACGTGGTGAGTGAACGTGGTGGGTGAACGTGGTGAGTGAACGTGGTGAGGGAACGTGTGGGGTGAACGTGGTGGGTGAACGTGGTGGGTGAACGTGTGAGTGAACGTGGTGAGTGAACGTGTGGGTGAAGCCGCTCCCATCGGTGCCGTGCATCACCTGGGAGGTCGGAATTGTTGATGCTGGCAATCAACCGTTGGGCTTTTGTCGTTTTCCGCCTTGTTCGGCGCGGTTTCCGTCGGCGACCCTTCTAGAGGAAAAGCAGAGGCGGCATGAGGGGCGTTCATTGCGTTATCGTGAGAACATCGGCTGTGTTGTGTACGTCCCCTTCACACATCCATCCCGCCACCCACACATCCCATGAACAAAGCCGTTAAAACTTCCAATGTCCACCACGTTATTCCGGAACCTCGATTTTTTCAAAAATCCGCCTCACGATCGCAACGAAGCCAACCACTTTGGCAAAATGACGACGCGGCCCGGCGGCGGAAGCGTTCGCCGCCCGTCGCAGACGTTTGCGGTTCAAGTCTGGCCGGCAGCCCTGGTTAGTTCTTGCCGGTGCGTGGAAGCCATATCGGTGGCGTTTCCTGCACACTGATGACGAGGATCGAGCAAAAGCGCGTGAAGCAACGTGCAGAGGCACGTGCTTGGAATCTCGTCCGAGGCGGCAGGAAACAAAAACACGTGCATGAGAGAATGCACGCACGCAAGCGAAAGGACGTGATATTGGCTGTTAAGAAAAAAGTACCTGACACAAATGCACAATTGAGTGTTATTGTCGAGAATGTTAATGACGAAAGTAAGTTTCCTCCATAATACAAATCCGGCTGTCGCCTGATGATGCTAGTTGTAATTACTGGTGAAACGTCGTACTCGGATTGTAAATGTCGTGGCTTTGCTCTCCAACACACCAGTGTGATGTGCTAGTGACACACCGGTGTCCTGTACTCGTCACGAATTGTCACGTTTAGTTTACCTGACAAACCTTACTAATTGGCTGTGTCAAGTGGTGGCGGGTTTAACGACACATTAGATATTGACGCCATTTAACCCAAAAGCCTGTATTATAAGTAAGTAAGTACAGTAGAACCTTGGATTGCGAGTAACTTGGTCTGCGAGTGTTTTGCAAGACGAGCAAAAAATCTGAATCAGAATCAGAAACGGTTTTAATCGCCATGAAAGTTGATAAACGAGCGAGGTCTTGCAATACGAGTAGTACGTGTATACGCTTTGTCTGCCGAGTGTCACGTGATCACAACTGATATACCAGTGCTTTGATATACGAGTGCTTTGGATTATAAACACGTTTCCAGAACGAATTATGCTCGCAATCCAAAGTTTACTCTATGTCTCATTCCCATATTCATATTTCCACACATTATATTCCTGCCACGACCCATCGGCCACACGGCCTTCATGATTCAGCATCTCATCGTGATGGTGCACTAGAATATAAAAACTCATCAGACGATCAATGAAACCGAACTAGTTTGCTTGTATTGATCCAACGCTGCTGATATGATGCACTCCCAGAAGGCCATCCCAGCTGATGGGTTCCATAGTATATACGTTTATTTTATGTGGTTTAGAAAAAATGTTGGTTCCAGGGCCAGGAGTGGACTGCAGTGTCTATGAGACGTACATGAAATACAATCATTTGTTACGTCGATAATGTTTAAGGTAAATCAGATTGAGCATACCTTTATACTTGCCATTAGTCACATCTTCCCTCGAAGCATATTGGTGGGCTTCCATGAACTGCAACAGAGATGGATCACAGTCATCGTTACGCCAAATGTCGTTACCACAGGATACACGCTGCGAGTGAGCAGCTATTAAACACAAGTCTAACACACGACGTTCATGATGTTTCCCGGTTTTAAGGTGGAATTAATCTCAGCAAGTATCCCAGGCAAGTTGTGCGTGATGAGGAATTTAAACTGTATTTCCACTGAAGCCACAATCAACAAGGGACATGTGATTATGGCAGGAAACTGTCACCCACGTATATATGTACAAAGTCAGTCACGCTAAAACATTATCGATTCAAAACGTGGGAACATCAAATGTATTCAATTGATGGGACGTATCGTGCAGTACCACTGCGTGGAAAGTTGCGATTACCGTTTGTGAGATAGAAATATAATGCAGCCCAGCTACTTTTCCAGGACAGAGGCAATACAAGGGTCTCAATGTAACACACATACACACGTAAGCGCACACGCATGTACACACGTACTCACACACACACACACACACGTAAACACGTATGCGCTCACAGACACACGTACGCACATACGCGCACATACACACACGTACGCACGTATGCACGTACGCGAACACACACACGTACACATGTACGCAGCTACGCACACACACACACGTATGCGCACACACTTACACATGTACGTGCTCGCACATACATATACGCATATACACGCACACACACGTACGCGCGCACACACACATACCGCTGCTTTCAGGGTCGAGGCTGGGAGTGAGTTGCATAGACCAACTTCATCGTGGAAATCGAGTGATAAATTCGAGATGTTGTCTTGCAAAGATGTACTCTTGTTGATCACGTGGGGATGACTCAGGTTCTTTAAGAGAAAAAGCACACGTGCATTCCTTGATTGTGCAAAAACGAATCAAATGTATACACACGAAGACTTCACAAATTGTCAATACAATAAAATGGTACATACTATTCCAAAACAACATTTACATTTAATACATTAACAAACAAAACAAAGAGTGGAGTAATAACGAGAGCATTGCCCATGGCCGCGTTTCTCAAAGCATGAACCGCGACTCCATCTCTGGCTGTGTTCTCAACATCAGTGCGGACTTTCCACTGCCAAGTCAATCGGCTACTTGCCACCTGCCCGCAAGCATTGTAACCACCAGCGAAACGCCATCGTACTCGAATTATAAATCTCGTGGATTTTGGTCTCGAACACACCGGGTGTGCTGAATCAGTAACCAATTGGTCGTGTTTTATTTATGTGACAATCCTTACTAATCGGCTGTATCTTTGGGTGGTGGCGGGGTTTAACGACACGTTTTTATTTACGCGATCTAACCCAAAAAAAACCTTTGCTGAGGATTGTTATGTATGTTGAACTTCTTTCGCACCGTACAGCGCCAATCGGGAGGTGCAAACCGCGCTGAATCGTGGGCTGCTTGAGGCCACCGCTGGCTCCTGCAGGCGTCCAAGTAGGGGAGCAATATGCATCTGCGACCTGACTATCACAAATGATAGCTCAATGAAGTGGCTTATCATATGGACATTTGTAGCAGCCAAACACTCTAAATAAATGCTGTTTCTAAATGTGGAGGAACCAGAGAATAATCCACGCGACCACGGGGAGAACATAAAAACTCCAAATATATAGGCATCAGGGTCGGGATCAATCCCACGACCTCGTCTACATCGCGATTCGCCCATGGAGACCGCCGCTCGTCAAATCAAAACACAGACGATGCCACCGATGTTCCACAATATCAAAATCTCCAGACAAGTTTGGATATCAACGGATTTTAAGAGGACGCACTTCACATGGTGCTATTGGAGATTAGCGTGCACACTTTTCATTGACCTCATCCATTCCCCTTACAATGGAATCATGAGTTCGGAGATAAACCATTACCTGGCCCTGACACGAGTGCTGCTTCAACCAAACATCAGAACAGGTTTCTACCAACTCCGAACACTCAAATGGTTGCGTCCGCTCCACTCCGCCTCCAGACCTGGGACTCGTGCCTTTGCCTCAACACGCCTGGATTGTGGGAACGTCCTCTACGCAGATCTACCACTTGGATTGGTGCACAGGGCTCCAGTTGGTGCAGAATGCAGCTGCCCGGATGACCCGTCGGGTTAGCCGATTTAAGCCAACTCCCCGCAGCTTGCGCCGGCTCCCGGTCCACTTCAGAATCCAATTCAAAGCCGCTGCTCTCCTTACCGAGAACGCACTGTGCAGGGCTTGCCCCCCCTATCTACATGCAAAACTGCACCTCCCCCCAATACTCCGGCACGTAATGCACACTCCGCTCCACTGGAACGGCGAGACTCGGCCCAGCCGAGGATCCCCAGGGGGGATGGAACCTTCTCCAGCGCAGCCCCAAACAATCTGGAACATCGTGCCTGCCTCTCAACTCCGTGGTGTGTCTGTGTGCGCAAGACACAGCTGCTCAGACGTGCCTTTCCATGAAGTCTAAAATAAAAACTTTCTTTACTTATCGTTTATTTTATTTACGACTTACCTTTCTTACGCAACCCGCTGTGTGCGGTTGCAATTTACTCCGCTCAGTCGGTGTTAGCCGCTGATGATGATGAACGATAACTCTATGTCCCTTGAACAGATATCACATCGTCCAGTCGATAGTGGTCATACGAAATATTTGCTTCATGGAGTCAACATTGAAATCCAAATGTTTCCTCTTCAAAAGAATGTGGGGAGGTGCTTGGGCATGATCCAGCGCTATAAACTCCACATTGCCATTCCGGTGACCTGGGTCACTCTCGATAACGAGGCTCTATCCTGGCGTCTCGACTTCTCACCCCGGTTAAACAAAATAAACCTGAAACACACGGAAGCTTAACCACGGCCGACTACCCTCGCACAGTAGAAAACTATTCTCAACCCCGGAGGGCTGACGCACGACGGCGATTGAACGTTCGAAGACGCAAGCCCACCGACCGCGATTCACGTGGTGGCTCGGGGCAGAACTCAAGACGCGCGCGCGGTGCACCTCACCGGCTCCGACCCCGTGCTGGTCATGCCCCGGCCGCTCGCCGGCATCAAGAGGTTCGCCGTCCCGCTCGCCGAATGTTTTGCCTGCAGCTTCTTGGCGCAGGCGTTGAGGCTGTTGATCTGCGCCTGGCTCTGCGCGAACTCCACGCGCAGAGCGTCCAGCTGCTCCTGCAGCTCGCGCAGCTGCTTGCGCTGCCGGTCCTTGATGGCGAGGCAGCGCGCGTGCTCCCCTTGAGCGTGGTCCCGCGACTCCAGTGCCTTGGGACGAGGGAGGGACGCGGACGGAGACGACGACGATGACGACGACGACGACGACAAAAGTGACGCCGCTTTACGGGACGCTTCAAGATGGAATCGAAACTGAGGCTATCACGGCCAAAGCCGCCGATTCCACCACACTCCCACTACAGCTTCCTTCCTCTTGCCAGATCCCAATGTTTGTTGCTTGGTCGTCACGCGACCTGCTGCAAGGTCCACTCTTACAGGACCCCAGCGTGTGGCTCTCGGTCCTTTCCTCCCCTTGCTCATCAACCTCGGCGTGCCATTGCTGTACCTGCCAAGTCTCCCCCCACATGTGCCCCCACTTGGACACTCCTCCTCCTCCTGATTACAGAGAAAACGATTTGTGTCCAAGTTGCCGACCCTACCCTCTCGTATAACTCCTAGGGCCCACCACATGTGTCTACATTTGAAGGCCGAATGAACGCTTGCATTCCCGTTGTGTGCGGCATGTCCGCGCCTTGCTTGCAGATTCCCAGACATTACTCGTACATAGCACACCCATATCTGAGCAGTACAGGTGAAATTTTGTAAGAGGGACTTATGTAGACCATAAAATCATGCCCTTTGAAAGCAACACATTTCTTTAACTCCTTTTCAAAAATGTTGTGCTACGTACATTTCTGCATACAAAGATACCCCAGTGTCGCCTTAACAGACTGTTTGGACAAGTGGCTGTTAGCGAGCACCTATGAAGACCGGAATGGCACACGAGGGGGTGGGTGGCCAGCCTTTGTCTCCTCAGTGGCAATGTTTTTACACATCTCACTCGGTTCACAATTGAGGCTGAGTCGACTTAGGAGAAGCCCAGGACCGGTTCAGATAGTCGTCACTCGTGTTGGCCGTGAGCGAGAATCGAACGCCGGCCGCCGTGTTCGTAGCGCAGCGCGCTAATCGCGACACTCCCGCTCCCCACACATTGCTGCATTAACGCACACTCACACACACGCTCCTTCATCACCTCACCGTGCCAAGTCCCGACAGACTCACCAACGCATGTCTCGCCGCTACCGTCTGCTCGCTTGGTGGAGGATGAGCACTGCGTGGCTGCCCAGCGTGTTCATGACAGTTCCGTGACGGCCACAGAGGCGACGAGTCATTGACATGTAATCACCCTTTGCTCACGATAGGCCTCGCCTACTTGGTTCAGGTGCAACTGTAGTCCAATTATTTACAAACAACTGCAGGTGACAGTAGAAATCTTCCTTGTTCTGGACCCCGCAATACAGAAACGTGCAGTTTAGTTTTGTTTCAGGATGCATTGGGATTTTGGCCAATTCCTAGCCAAACACTGACTATTGCCTGCTAAAAAAGGAAACACTACCCGAGTAAAACCCACACCCGGAGGTTTTGCGCAACCGATTATTGCATCACAATCAACAACCTCAACTCCGCAGCGCAGGATTAACATAGAGGCCTCATTGGGTGCGCCCCGATAGTAAGTGATTGATTGCATCACGGACTCCTGCAGACCACGAGCGAGCCACGAGCAAGCCAGGAGCATGCCAGGAGCATGCCACGCTGCCACGAGCGAGCCACGAGCGTGAGGGCGTGTGTCCGCACCTTCTCTCGCTCCTTCTCCACGTCCTGCAGCTCGGCCAGGATGCTCGCGATGCGGTGCTTGTGCATCTGGCAATCTTTCTCCGTGGTGTCACATTTCAGCTCCAGGCACCCTTTGTCTTCCAGGTACTGCCGGGGGGTGAAGCAGGGCGGAGTGTCAGTGGAATCACGCGACCAGGACGAGCTATTGCTACTCTTGACTATTTTTGTTTTACCAGGAAAGGCCCCACTGAGCTGTGTAGCGCTTTTTCAGAAGCGACCTGGCCATCACAAATGAGAGCTCAACGAAGCGGCTCATCGTCACGTGGGAATTCATAGCAGCCAAACACTCTAAACGCACCTTTCTAAATGTGGAGGGAAAAACCGGAGGAACCGGAGAAAAATCCACGCGAACCATGGGGAGAGCGTCCAAACGCCAAATAATCAGACGTCAGGGTCAGGATCAAACCCACCAACTACTGCATACCAGGCGAGGTAGTTAACACCTGGGATGTGTGCGTGTATGCGGTGTGTGTGTGGGGCGTGTGTGGAGTGTGTGTGGGGTGTGTGTGTGTGGGGCGTGTGTGGGGTGTGTGTGTAGGGTGTGTTTGTGTGGGGTGTGTATTTGCGTATTTGTGGGTTGTGTGCGTGTGGGGGGGGGGGCGTGTGTGTGGCATGCGCGTGTGTGGGGTGTGTGTGTGTGTGCGTGTGTGGGGTGTGTGTGTGGAGTGTGCATGTGTGATGTGTGCGTATGTGTGTGGGGTGTGTGGGGTGTGTGTGTGTGGGGTGTGTGTGCGTGTGTGGAGGGTGTACATGTGTGGGATGTGTGTTTGGGGTGTGTGCGTGTGTGGGATGTATGTGCGTGTGTGGGTGCATGTTTGGTGTGTGTGTGTGGGGGTGTGCGTGTATGGGTGTGCGTGTGTGGGGTGTGTGTGTGTGGGGGTGTGTGTGTGTGTGGGGGTGTGTGTGTGTGGGGGTGTGTGTGCGTGTATGGCGTGTATGTGGGGTGTATGGGGTGTATGGCGTGTGTGTGGGGTGTGTGCGTGTGTGGAGCGTGTACATGTGTGGGAGTGTTTGGGGTGTGTGCGTGTGTGGGATGTATGTGCGTGTGTGGGGTGCATGTTTGGTGTGTGTGTGGGGGTGTGCGTGTGTGGGTGTGCGTGTGTGGGGTGTGTGCATGTGTGGAGCGTGTGCTGGGAACCTTATCTCTGAGCTCCTCTGCCCGTGCTAACTCTTGGCGGAGGGAGAAAATCTGATTTAGCAATTCCTCTCGTTCCTGGAGGTGTTCGCAGGAGACGTTAGAATTGTTTCCCTTTTCCTAGGAGTGGAGGAGGTAGAGATTGGCGAGAAGGTAGAAGAGGGAAGTCACATACAGACAATCAGAGCCCTGCAAAGTGCGCTATATGAATCCGAAATAGAACAAGTCCGTATGTATGTTGAACTACTTTTGCACCGTACGTAGCCAACCGTGCTAATCGCACGTGCAGTTTATGTTAATTTATTCACAAATTAGTTGACACACGAGTTGGAAATCAAACAATGCAAAACATGTACAGCAATTTTTGCCACGTACATGCTTTGAACAGTAACGCATCTTCATAACCGATAAAAACATCACCGAACAATAATCAAATGCTTTAAAAAACACAAAGCACAATGACTGTCGAGACCCGTTTAGAGAGCTCTAACAGTGGAATGTGCGCCCTGTGTACGGAGCGTTTTGTACGTGCCCGAATAAAACCCACGCAGCGGCTGTTGATTTTCGGCCGTTTACCGAGTCCCTAAGGCCCCGCGAAGAAGCGTGCAGGAAATACGACGTCGACGGTCATAAGGAACACAGAGTCGGAACATTAAAGAGTTTATGAGTCGAAGGCGTGGGAGAATGCATCCCGGCCAATTCCTCCCACTGGCAGCTCACAGGATGTTTCAACGGTGCCACCTCACCCCTTACTCCGGCATTCTCTCTGCCGCACCCGTCTCGCTCCGGTGACACCGACCCAGCGTGCCGAGGCTCCATGGTTGGACTTCGCGATTCGCCGCTACCGCGGGCGTGAAAGTGGGTCTCGGTCTAAACGTCCGCTGCACACGTGCTCATTGAGCTAGGCTTCTGCATTGAAAACTCTTGGCCACTTCAGCAGATTTTGGGAGTCTCGCAGTGCACGTTTAATTCTGTCCGATACATCAGCCCTGGCCCCCTGTGAAGTATTGTGCTGCACTGGTAATGTCCATATTGTGTCACGCAGCATCCACGTGTTATTTTATCCAAGATGATGCATCGGGCAGCCTTTAATTTACATCACCAGCCTGAGATATAACACTAAGTATAAGAATAGGTTTTACCCTTTCTGGCAATAAAACAGATGTTAAAAGAAAGCGGTCTCTGGTGTGGACCAATCCGTTTCAAAGACAATGCATATATTATCAGAGTACGTTTTTTGTTTGCATTCTGACCACAAGTATTGTGGTTAATGCAGACATGATTCCTTGTAAAAGGTTTCAGTTTAGTGTTTTAACATGTTAACATCTACTCTTAGGTTTTTTCGGTAAAGTCACATAGGTAAAAAATAAAATTTTAAATTACTAAAAGTAATAATAGAAATAAAATAAAATAATACATCACGATACAGCAAATCTAGATGTGACGGTCCCACCTGATGACGGAGACTTGTGTTGCCTCCGAAACGTCGTGATTTATTATTTTATTTTATTTATATTATTTTAGTAATTTTTTATTTTATTTTTTACCTACGTGACTTTACCGAAAAAACCTAACAGTATAAATCCTTGCAGTCACGAAAGCTTCAAATCTATGTTAACATCTGTTTTGTTGCCAGAAAAAAGGAGAAAACCTATTCTCAGGTGTTAAGATGTTTGAACATCAAAGAGAAATCTTTGCAAGGAATCATGTCTGAATTAACCACACAAACTTGTGGTGAACATGCAAACAAAAACATGCTCTTAACACAACTGTTTTATTGCCAGAAAGGGTAAAACCTATTCTTATACTTTGATACTGGCAAGAAAGGTCCCATGTTAACACTTTAAGTGTTTCTAAAGGGCTTTTGCGTCATGTAAATGAGGAAGAAAACTAATAAATTTCCATGAGAGGCACAAAAAAAAGATCTTCAGCTAAAATTCGACTTTCTGAGCCAGTGCATGGATTGTGTTTTCATTTTCATGCTCACGGTAACTGCGCAGTAATCACAGTTAACGATGATAACAAAAATAGTGACTAATGACCCTATGATGGGCCGACCAATTGACCGGCACGCAACGCAAGTCGCACGTGACAACAACCTCAACGAACAACGTTCCAGGAAATACATTCAAGTCTGACACCGTCCAGAAACTTTCCAAAGGCAACCGACTAAAAGCCTCCACGCCACCGGTGCTGCTGCCGCCGCCGCCAAGCGCCGTGGCACGACCTCGAGCGATGTGGCAGAGAGGAGGAGCGTAGCTGCACCTTGCCCACGCGGTTGCGGAGCAGGGCATTTTCCTGCTGCAGCTGGAGCAGCACCTCCGCGTGTGGCCTGCGCTCCATGTCCTTGAGCACGCGGCGAGAGTTGCGCCGCACGACCTCGCACTCGCGCTTGGCCTCGTTGCACACGTGCTTCAGCTCGTCCACCTACCACGGGGGGGGGGGGGGCAGAAAGAGCCGCGGGGGGCAGTGTCCGTCGTTCGGCAGGGGGTGCACAAAAGACAAAGATCCCCTGTATAGCCTTAACAGACTTTTGGGGAAAGTACTGTTAGCGAGCACCTATGAAGGCCACCACGGCACACGAGGGGTTGGGTGGCCAACACCACGCCTTGCCGCCTTTGATTCTCCAGTGGCGATATTTATCAGGGTGCACACCACACACACAGACCCCCCACGTAGGCCATAGACTCGGGAGAAGCATCAAACAACACGCAAACACGTGTTAAAAGCACTCGGCTTTTTCTGGCAATTGTGGGAGGAAACGAGCCGTTCGAAAATTGCCAAACGATCGATCCGTGTGACTTCATGCAGACTCGGCCATCAACCGACATGATAAAACGGCAGGGCGGCCACAATAGCCGCGCGACTCGGTCTCACGGCGCGGCTCCGCGCGAGAGCGATATCGCCCCGCCTGCGAGAGGGCACGCGTCTCTCCCGCTCGGAGCACGGGCGCGGGCGAGGGCGAGGGCGAGGGATCGTTGAGTTGGCGCTTACCTCCAGCTGCAGCTCACGGCACCTCATGTGCGCCGCGGTGCGCTCGTTGCTCATCGTCATCATCCTCATCGCCAGCGTGTAGTTCTCATCTTTAACTGTCAACAAAGACAAAGGCCCCCCCCCCCCCGTGTAGCCTTAACACACTGTTGGGGCAAGCAATATCAATGGAGCCTTTTTTTGCCAGTATCAACGTATGAAAAATAAGAGTAAAACAGGAGGTGTTAAGGATGGTCAAACACCAAATAGAAACCTTTCGCAAGAAATCGAGTCTGCATTAACCAGACGTACTTGTGGTGAACATGCAAACATTGATTTATTGCCAGAAAGGGCAAAATCTATTCTTACTTTTTCATATGTTCGGGCAAACGCTGTTAGCGAAAAGCACCTATGAAGGCCGGCACGGCACACGAGGGGGTGGGTGGCCACATTGCAACAGGTACTCATTTGAGGCCGAGTCGACCTAAGGACCAGCTCAGATGTTCGTCACCGGTGCTGGCCGTGAGCGGGAATCAAACTCGGGTTGTAGCGTGGTGCACTAACCACCGCTCCCGTCAACACCACCGCCACATTCGCTGCTACGGCACCTCCCCTGCTCGCAGCGCACAACGAGCGGCCGCTCACAGCGGTTTGCGTGCCCCAATTGCGCACTACCGAAGGCAGCACGGGTTTCGTGATGAGTAGACACTTCGATAACATTGACAATGAATGCTGTAAGTTTGTATAGTTCAACAGAAGACAGTATCTAGGCACGTGACTATGTTTTCTTGCTTCCTGGCCAAATTTTGAATGCGGTGAGAGATTAATCTTTTCCTTGTGTAAATTTTTAAAAATTTGAAATCACATTATTTAAGTGTAATCTCATTTGTTGCAGATGTTGTGCCCGTTTTTCAAGGAAAAGACTGTGAGTCTCAATGAGTTCTCAGGTGCTCACCTCTGTTTACTGAACGGGGCATAAATCCGTCTCAAGTTAAGGGCAGTCATGTGATGCGAGTTATGGGGCAGCTGCAGCCTCCGACAAGGACTTGCCAAGAGTGTCGCCTTCCAGCCGTATATCTTATCCAGACAGGTGTTGAACTCTGCCTTCACGGAGCAAGCCCAATGCTCACCGCTGCCCCACCAAACGTAATTCCTCTGCCCTCTGTCCCTTCGCTCGAAGAGGATATCGCAGCTGTATGAAAGGATTACGCCTGACGGCAATGTGGCTAAAGCTCACGACTCTCTCTTGAAATATGATCATCCTCATAGCAGGTTAAATGAATTAATAATCCCTCCAGGGTGGTTAAAGTAGGCACCACTATGTTGGAGAATGTTGAAACGGTGGTTGTGCAATGTGAGACTATTGCCTGCCAAAAGCATGGAATTTCCACCACTGCCGACAGCGATGAGCAATTGCCCCACCTGCGTTTGAAGGGGGGACACGTTGGCTTGGCCTCGAATGCCCGACACCTGTATGTGAGTCCCTCAAGGCCGCCATTCATTCTGTTTCACTCTCTCACTATTTCCCAGCCCCAATTTTTTTTAACTCGTCTCTCTCTCTCTTTCTGCCTCTCCTCCCTCCAGGAGTTCGAAATCATAAATTTAACGGCACTGTTAAACAAACAAAACGAGAAAACCCATTAAAATTGGTAAAAAGGGGATGCTTAAACACCGGATGTGCCACTTTGGAAACCTTGCGCCCCGCGCACCGCATGGCCCAGCCCAACCCCAGCGGTCACCTCGCGCCAGCTCGTCGCTGTAGTTGTCCCTCTCCTCCTGCACACGCTGCAGGCGGTCCTGCACCTGCACGAGCTCCACGCCCTTGGCCTCCAGGATTTTGAGTCGATCCTCGAGGGCGGCGATCTTGCCCCGCAGGTGGCCCAGCTCGCGCTGTTTCGACGACAGCTGGGACTCGAGCCGCACGAGCTGCGCGATGAGGCAGCGGGGGAACGGCTCGGCCATGTGATGCTGCTCCAACAGCGGCAACGGATCTGGAAACTCTGCGAGAGACAACGGGAGAGAGATGCGGAAAGGGGGTCAAGGGGTTTTGACGGAGCCATTCATAGACGAAGGCATTTGTCTGTATGTAGCAAAGGACAAGTGCATGCATGTGAGCATGCACATGGTAATCAATGCAAGGGTGACATGTGGTTTTAATACTGCAAGAGTGGCTTTGTAGGCATGGCTCAAAACAGATGATTTATCCCTTCATACAATGAACGCAATAAAGAGACTAATTACACAACGTGGACCTTGTTTGCACGTGGATCTCAGAAAAGCAAGGCAACGTAGGTATGTACGTATGTATTTTTTACATATTTTGCACCGTACGTAACCAACGGTGCTAATCGGAGGCGCGGAAGAAGGACAACAAACTAAACACAAAAAGCAGTTCTAAAATAAATTAGCATTCCCCCCCCCCCGCCGCCCCATCAATGCAGGTATGAGTAAATAAATTGTAAAAAAATGGCTGCTATAGAACATCTAAGTGCAAAATTAAGGGGCAGGGAGGAAGCAGATCACCAACTTGGAACCCGTTCACGGATTATCCTCTAGTGGACATTGATTTTTAAGATTCATTCGCACATTTAGCCCCCCCCATCCCTCCCTATCCCCCCCCCCCCCATCTCTCCCGTCCTTCCTTAGAGAGTTATCCGAGTTAAGGAAGTAGTCACCTGGGATGTAGAGTTTACTGAAGCACGTGGCACAGATAGGTTCAAAATAATAAACGTTCGTAATAATCATTGTCATTCACATTGTGTCTAGACTACTGGTGTCAATTCCCATGCACGCTACCCTCTGTGCATACTTGAATCGTTTGTTCAATGCAAATGAATTTGTAAAATTAAAAATGTGTTTCAATTACACGTGTGTGCAGTTCCACATGGAAGGATAATGTCACGGGGATGACTGTACTTGGCCATTTAGCAGAACATTTTAAAATGAAAAAAATGAACAGAGAAAATAGGATAAACGTGGGACATTTCAATAATCACAGCGCAAATGCCGTCTGTGTGCTATCTCCACCTTCTTTACAAGAGCGCTTTACGGGTCCACGCACACGATGCTAGAGAGAGCCACCATGGCACGGCTAAGACCTCCACTGAACATGCTGCGTTGTGCGACCCTAGAGAGCAGTCATATTCACGTTACGAAAGAGGGCTTCAGAACAGTTTATATGTCAAACGTGTTGACCAGAACACAATCGTTTTCACGTCGAAATATTTAGAAACAGCAGGGAAATGCTCTGGGAGGTTGTGTACATGTGTGTGTGTGTCTGTGGGCTTTGGGGAGCGGTAGTGTAACGGTTAGCGCTCTGCGCTACAAACCCAGCTAACAGAGTTTGATTCCCACTCACAGCCAACACCAGTGACGATTATTTGAACAGGATCCCCCTTATAGCCTTAACAGGCTTTTGGGGCAAGTGCTGTGAGTGAGTAGCACCTATTAAGGCCGGCATGGCACACGATGGGATGGGTGGTCAGCACCACGCCCGGCCGCCTTTGTTTCCCGAGTGGCAATGTTTATACACTGCACCAGGTACTCATTGAGATCATTTTCACTGGTACTGGCCATGAGTGAGAATAAAACTCTGGTCACCAGATTTGTAGCGCAGCACGCTAACCTCTACACTGCCACTCCCCATGTGCATAAGTAGACCAATGCACATACATACACATAAAGTACAGATTTTCATATATGGAAATGTTATTGTACTGAAACGCAGGAAGAGAATGCCCATGACAACAAGGCGACATGCAAATACATGACGATAAATTACCAAAAAATACAAAAGCACGTACCTTGGCCAGCCTTAGGAGGGTTTCCACTGATCTTGGTGTAGACATTTTGGTATTGCGTCTCCAGCAGTGTCATGAACACTTCGTAGGCCTTCTTGCCCTTGGTCTGCAAGATGTCCAACAAACGGCCTAGAGACACGGACATCCTCACGGTCATCAATACGGAAACCTCCAAACAATAACAGAACTGTTTGAGGGCCTCTCCCATCCTCCTCCTCATTCCTCAGACGTTAAACAGCTGCACTGCGTCCCACTCCGAGCTGTCAATGATGTCCATCATCATCATCATCACATGGCCACCACACCCAACACCGCTTCCTCTGCCGCCCGATGCCTGTTGCACGAGGTTCATAAAATGTACAAAAAACGAAATTCGGGTCGATATCTTTACTATGGCATAATCTGTTTTCATTTCCAATTTTAGGCAGAAAACTACAAATGTTGTGAAATTGCGGTGGAATGGTACCCCACTTTAACGTGGCGCGGTCTCTGCGCAGTTAGAAAATGGGGCCACTCCTTGGTAACTGCAAAAAGGGGAAACGCGAATGAGTGCCGATAAATGAAACAGAAAGATTTGAAATGTAAAGAGAGGGCTAAGGCCTAGCGAGGGGAAAGCGTCCCACGCAACCCGTGACATGGGTCCTGCCAGGCACAAACGACGGGCTCCACTTCTGGGAGATGCACGCGAGCGTTGGGGGTGGGGGGGGGTGAATAAATATTGTGAAGAAGGTGGCTGCGTCGTAAGCTCCCCTCACGTGATCAGCCATTCCACCACTTATTGCCTCGAAACCCTCCGATGTACTTCTGGCTCCACCGTGTGTTGTGTTTGTGACATTTTCGCTCCATGTGCTGGGAGCTTCCTCGCTCCAAGCACCACCAGGTATTGACCGCTCAACCTCGAGAAACCTCCGCAGGATTATGGTATTCATAATAAGGGTTTTTTGTTGGGTTAGATCGCGCGAGTATTAATGTGCCGTTAACCCGCACCACCCGACACAGCCAGCCAACCAGTAAGGTTCGTCACGTAAACAAAACGTGCCATTGAGTCACTACTTGAGCCCACCGGTGTGTTGGAGAGTAAATCCACAACATTCACAATTTGAGTACCTTGCCATTTCGCTGGTAATTACATCCGGCATTATCGGGTGATTTTTCCAGAATTGCCGGGATTATGGTATTGCCATAAATTCTGCCCAAAGCCTTCTGGTAACTCATGCTCCCCCCACCCCCTCCTCTTGCAAAAAATACAAATTTAAGCTGTCTGGAAACAAGCACGATCACAGAAAATGTCATCAACATCAATTACTGCCGGTGAAAACCGGTGAGGATGATGGAAGCATCGCACAATGAACATCGCATTGACCGGACTCGAGACAGAAGCAATAGAAACAAAAGTGAATCGAATTATCAGCCGTTGTCAACGTGGCACAATTGACACGACGAAAGGAGTCCTCACAGTAGGGCGCTGCTGCATCGACATCGTGCTGCACAGGTCTGTTCCACAGTGAATGAACAGCAGCACTTCAATGTGCCATCGGGGGAAATGCAGTCTATTCCAGAAAATCATGTTTTGCAACAATGCACAAACTGTGGAGTTATAAAAATAAAAAAATTACAATTTAGACAGCCATGAAGTTTAAATCATGGCTGTGTGCCAACAGCTGCAAGCTACGAGCTGCAAGCACCCCCTGCATCGCACCTGTTCGCCATCCCCGCCCCCCCCCCCCCCCCCCCGTCATCATTGTCATCCACCAGCATGCAGGTTGATTACCTGCGACAGCGACAGCATCATCATCACGGTCAACAAACCAGCGAGCGCCATCTCACAACACTTGAGTGACCATCACCCTGTCAATGCCAGACATCATCGTCGTCATCGTCTTCTTCATCATTTAAACCCCTTCATCCACATCCTGTGTGATGCGCTTAACATGCATAAAAATCACTCCCTGCCCATGGATGCTTTCAATTCAGAAGCTTTGAGTGCCCCATGCGTTACACAGGCAGCTCGCGCAGCTCAATTCCCGAGCCATTTAAAGGAACTTTCGGCTCGCCTGACGAAAATTCACAATACAAGTGGAATCGCGCGGAATATTCCACCTGTTATACACGGGTGAACGTCGGGTCTTTTAAACCGGCACTTTGTCCTGGCATGCACTTTGGGAAATTATGTAATTTATTCAGATATCCGTGAATTATTTGTTGGGGATAAGTGAAGGTTTCACTGGCAGATCCATCACATTGCCCACAACTTTGCAGATAAGTGGAGTCAAGTCACACACAACACGGATAGCAGGACTCGCAAATGTTAATACGCCAAATCACCAAGCTCTACCGTATATTGAGGATTACCTTTTCTCTCATTAATAATCATCGTGATTTGCCTCGTTATTGATTTGGTAATCTTCAACGCGTTGCTTGATTCAAGTGAAAAATAGCATCCGTTTTAAAACGACACTTATTAAAACTGTACTCAAGTGGAGGCATAACATCATCATATTAAAGTTGAGGTCATGGGAGTGAACCACGTGATCAAAGGTAACTCCTACGGGGCGCATGACCGAGTTGTGTCGAGGCGACCAGGGAACGGGGACACTCACTCATGCGCATGGCCTCATTCTTGAGGGTCAAGTCACCACACGTCACCTCCTCCTCATCCTGGACGGAGATGACCCCATACGATCGCAGGTGATGCGTCACCCTTGAGGCCTGCGCGTTTGGGGGGTGAGGGGGGGGGGATCACGAGCACTCTCATCAATTAATGCGATTGAGGGACACGGTCACAATTGTAAGTTGCCATTCCATGGCTTTTCAAGTCACCATTACAGGCAATGACAAATCATTATTGCTTCATCCACAGAGATCCATTCCCAAAATGTGTTGTTCAGGCTTTCACAAAATATATGAAGGGTGGTGTTAGAGTCTTGTGCCAGTGAAATGGTTCGAGAACAATCAGGTGACTCATATTTCTGGGATGTGATAAACAATAGCAACCTCGCACAGTTGTCCAAGTCAAGGTTTTGTAGCGCGGGAAGCCATGCTGAAAACATTCACGTAGCCGACCGGATAACACGCACTCATCTGTGTCAGCATACACTCCCGCACGTGCGATAAGCAAAGGCCAACACTGTGGAATGCTGTATCGTATCAACTATCATATAAACTATCATGCCGCACCCACCGAGCCAAGCTTAGACACGAACACGTGTGCCTTGCGAGGTTTGTTTTACAGCCACCCCTGACATTCAATCACAAGAATTGTTTCCCATCTTGGAGTCACGGTTTCAATTCGAGAGTTAATTCTCCGAATAACTCACGGTGATTGTAGCACCTCTAGTGGATGCAGGGGTCAGGTGAACCAATTGTATGCCATATACACCCATGGAAACATATGGTCATGGATTTTACGCCCACGGTGTTTTCAGGATTAGGGGCTGTCCATAAATGACGTCACGCGATTTTGGACGATTTTTGACCCCCCCCCCCCCCCCTCATCACACGGCGTAACAAAAAGTCAGATCCCCCTCAAATATGACGTCACAAAGCTATGCCCCCCCCCCCCTCCCAAAAAAACATGCTTCAAATCGCTTTAAACTATTGTCATTGTAGTGCGTATTTAATGTGGCGCTGCACTCTGATGTTGTAGGAGAAAACATTTATAAAAAAAGTTTATTTAATTAAGTAGAACGTGTTGTCTAGATTTATTTAAAGTTGCGCATTTTGATGTGACGTCACATTTCTCAAACCCCCCCACCTCCTCACACATCGTCACAAATGTCTGACCCCCCGCCCCCCCTAGGTGCGTGATGTCATTTATGGACAGCCCCTTAGTGTCAATCGATGAATCTATGCATCGTCCTTATGCCGCATTGTTTATATGACGGGCTCTTGGCATCTTTGGTGGCTCACAGAGGCGAGTGAAGAAGGGGTGGGAATGGTGGCATGGTTCGTGTGGGATGGAGAATGAGAACGAGGCCCTCCTCCATGCTGAACCCAAAAAGCCATTTCTCTTTGAGACAACACGCCCGTGCAATACAGCAACATCCACCCCCCCCCCCCTACCTTGATGCTGTTCACGATGACCTCGCGGAACCGCTCCAGCTGGTCCCAAAGCAGCTTATCCTCGTCCTCAATGTCCATGGAACCCTTTAGAATTAGTGATTCACATTCCATTGATGTACCGGTCTGCTTCCGAACAGACGAGCTGTTGGCTCTCTTTCAGCCGACACCTGGAAGACAGCACAACGAGCATGATGTGCGTTTGCAATGTAACGTACGAATGTGTACACAAGGATTCCTCTACTTACGAACTTTCAGAGATACGAACAAACCTGTCCGTATGTCCAAGAGTCGAAAGTTTAACTGCCGCGCAATAGGTAGTGGTGGTGGCATCGACATCTGCAGACTATGAAGAACCAGTGGCGTCTACATCTATGTGATATTAAACACATTTTTAAGCAATTTCCCGTGTTTAGTGTACACGCCATACAACATGTTTGAGATCGACAGGAGTAAAGTTGGACTTATGAACAAATCGACTTACGAACAAACCTCTGGAACCTAACTCGTTCGTAAGTAGAGGAGTCTCTGTAAAGTACAAAAGATGCTCTCCTCTCTGTGCGTGTTTCTCATTGCACCTCGGGCAGAATCGGTGTCAACAAAAGCCCTATGCAGCACTTGGAGACATATTACCTCTTCTGGTCGTTCGCCTGTCGGTTTAGTTTCAATATCCACTCGCTTTGGGGTTTGTTCCTGTGGGTTTTGGGGGGGGGGGTCGGGAAATTGTGGTAATATATTTAAGATGTCGATATAAACCGTGCACTAATTAGGACAGACCCTTGAGTCGCTTCACCAACTCACGAAACACGATCACGATGAAACCCACCCAGCATTGGGGTTTCGAACTGGGTGAAGTGAACGTGGAGGGAGGCGAGCCTGAAGACGTGACCAGGCAGAACACCCAGACGCCCACGACTTCGTAAAGATATTTAAAAGATGTGCATGACATGAGACCCTAACACTCACATTTCCTCCTTGTCATTATAGAGGCGTTTGAGGAATTCCTTGTTCAAACAGGCTTTTGAAAGGGATACATTTCCAAAGCGTCTGCATCGTTCTCGAGTACAGCCACGGCTCATGCTTGAGTACAATCGATGTACCGGGATACCCCAGTCTACGTCGCGGATGCGCTCCGGAAAGGTCTGACGACCTATATCGAAACGACGTAAATCAAAGTGTTTACACGCTTTTATTTAACTCACTCTGTCTGTTGTATCTTCAACCCTGTCTGTTGTCGTATCCTCAAATCTTGTAACTCAATTTTAACCCACTTCCCAATGTCGTATCGACTGCAAACTTGGTATACGTATGTCATACTGATGTTTCGGCTTGGGTCTAATTGTCCACGCTCAACTCACGTTGGCTGTAAATCACCAGTCCCTTACGTTATGGCAAGCCTCGGGGCCACTTCCTGGAGTCGTGGAGTTCTGCCACTACTCGTATGGTACATTTCATTAAAGTGTGTTTAAAAAAATATATTTTTAAAAGTTACTTTTTTTTCTTCAAAATCACTAAAATCCCGCACCTAAATAAGAACTTGTACTGTATAGAACAGTACGTTTCTTTATGCGCCACGCAAAGCAAGTTCGTGTACAGGGTAGTAGTAGGTGGAGGCGAAGGCTGAGAGGCGACGGATAACGAGACAGGAAGTACGCTGCTGCTGCCAGCGACGTGAGTGTGGGTTGAGGCGACGCATGGGGTAGTCGCGCTGTTTATACAGCTACGGCGTAAAAAGGGGGACACGTAAACTGTGGTATAACTGTACATGTGAAGCGCTGACGAATTATACCATGTCCACCACCACTATGCCTATCAGAGATCCACCACCACCATGTCCATCAGTGATCCACCACCACCATGTCAACAGTGATTCACCACCATCAAGTCCATCAGTGATCCACCACCACCACCAAGTCCATCAGTGATCCACCACCACCACCAAGTCCATCAGTGATCCACCACCACCACCAAGTCCATCAGTGATCCACCACCACCACCAAGTCCATCAGTGATCCACCACCACCACCAAGTCCATCAGTGATCCACCACCACCACCACCAAGTCCATCAGTGATCCACCACCACCACCACCAAGTCCATCAGTGATCCACCACCACCATGTCCATCAGTGGTCCACCACCACCACCAAGTCCATCAGTGATCCACCACCACCAAGTCCATCAGTGATCCACCACCACCATGTCCATCAGTGATCCACCACCACCAAGTCCATCAGTGATCCACCACCACCACCAAGTCCATCAGTGATCCACCACCACCACCACCACCAAGTCCATCAGTGATCCACCACCACCATGTCCATCAGTGATCCACCACCACCACCAAGTCCATCAGTGATCCACCACCACCAAGTCCATCAGTGATCCACCACCACCACCACCACCATGTCCATCAGTGATCCACCACCACCAAGTCCATCAGTGATCCACCACCACTATGTCCATCAGTGATCCACCACCACTGTCAATTGTATCAGTTTTAAAAATTATAAAACAACAGTACAGTTGAAAGAACTGTTCAGTTAACAAATATTTCAGCTTCCACTGTCTTACGTGAACAAAAAATACCAATATATTGATTATCTTATTTTATCTGAATTTATCTTGTTTTTAATTCATATAGCAAACTGTAGAGCAGAATAGTGTGATGAGATTATTTGATGAGAAGGATGGCATCACGGGATGATGATGCGTGAAATAAACGATGATGAAAGTGACAATGGGTGGCTAATGATGAGCCGGTGTGATGGATGGGTAGGCAAGTCGGGACGAGGGATGGTGTAGGAAGGAAGGGAGAAGGGGGAGAGAGATTTGGGTAAGCGAGGGATAATAAGTGAGATTTTTAAGGCAAGAAGGATCAATGGACAGTGGGGGTGACTGTTTGACGTGTAGGGGGCAGCTAGTTCCAGCGTTATGGGGCACAGAAGCGAAAGCGAGAAAGAACCGAATCGAGACTGGGCACATGGAGGAGGGGGACAGAGGAACGACAGCAGCTGGGATTGTGAACAGAGAGGGTGAGATGGGGCGCAGAGACGAGACGAGGGACGCGAGACGACGCGTTGGGGCCAGACCATGGGGAGAGATTTGTGAACGAGGGTGAGGAATTGGAAAAGGCAACAATGGTAGACGGGAAGCCAGGTTGGCTGCAAGGGGAGGGGGAAGAGGCGATTTGTGGGAGTGATCGGGGAGATTAGAGACCATCCGGGCAGCGGCATTTTGGGTTTGTTGGAGCGGTTTGAATGCACAGGAGGGAAGACCAAGCATGAGGGAGTTGCAATAATCGAGTCGAGTGATGAGGAGGGAGGGAGTTTTTTATTTAGTTTGCAGCCATGGGTGAGATGAGGGGGCGGACTTTGCGAACGTTTCACAGGTGAAAACAGCAGGAACAGGTTATGGTAGATTTGTGGTCGGAAATAGAGGCGAGTCAAAGATGACTCCAAGATTTACTGGCAGATGATACGGGCAGGGCTAATGCAGAAAGGGGGGCAAAGAAGATAGTTGTTTAGGAATTCGCATGACGTGTGTATTACATCTGTAGCATGCTACAGGCAGGCACGTGCCACACGGTAGTGGCCCAACATTCATGGTTGAGGTGAAGGAGTGTGTCAGCAACTGTTGCACCTGCAGCGAATACGCACTTGCCCAGCAGACGGAACCCGTGATGTCACACGAAACACCAACCCGGCCTCGGCAGATTGTCAGCATGAACCTATTCAACAACGGCTGCCGAGATGATCTGCTGAACGTCGACCACCGACCACTCGGACTTCTGCGAAGACGAGTTGCTGCTGGACTCGTCTGCCAAGACGAGTTCATCGCAAGACAATGGACCGCACGCTCACTAACTCGCCCGGCAAAGGGGCCATGCAGGACCGGGCAAAGCCGGGAGAGCAGAGTGGTTGTATTATTATGACGCCACGCTTTTATTTAACTCACTCTGTTGTTGTTGTCGTATCCTCAAATCTTGTAACTCAATTTTAACCCACTTCCGAATGTGCTATCGACTGCAAACTTGGTATACTTATGTCATACTGATGAAAATACTACATTCTACCATTAAAAAAAACAAATTTTTAAACCATCTTTTTTATATGTTATGGTTCGCCTTGGGTCTAATTGTCCACACTCAACTGATGTTGGCTGTAAATGACCACGGCCCCTTTCGTTATGGCAAGCCTCGGGGCCACTTCCTGGAGTCGTGGAGTTATGCCATTACTCGTACGGTACATTTCATTAAAGCGTGTTTAAAAAAAAAGTATTTTGAATATTACTTATTTTTAGCAGGCACGTCTGAAAGCAGCAACTTGGAGCAAGCAACCGCGCCGGTCAGCATCCCAGGACCCAGTACGTCAACCTGGAGAGACGCTGGCAGCTCATCAATGTCCACACAAAACGCCCTGCTTATTCTACCCTCAGTGGGCGACTGCCACAGCCAACGGATAGACTTTATCTAAAACAGCTGATCGAGGTGGACAGCTGAACAGAAAAGGAAATAGATATTTAGATTATTGTTCGATTGCTTAATTCAAGCTAAATGTCAGCTATTGCTTAATTCTATGTCTCAAGTAGATTTGCTTTGAATTCTTAATTGTTGTTTGAATTTGGTGTTGTTTGAATTTGGTGTTGTTAAGTGGCTGTTTGAATTGTTGTTTGAATTTAACTTGTTAAATTGTTATTTGAAAAGGGGAGATGCTAAGGAAGTCACATCACGTGTATGTATGACGCCATTGCATTACAGTATGACATTATGGCATTGCACGAAGGTGGCTCACACAAGCCTGCTGCAGTGCGGGTAATCCGGAACTGCAGTAGCATATGTAGCTACTACTTGTGTAGCTACTACATATGTAGCTACACATGTAATAGCTATATATGCTACGGGCCCCGCACTTTCAAGGGCCCCGCGCTAAATGCTTTCAAGCTATCAATTCCGGTTCAGTGATTCTGCACTTGCTATATTAATATAGTACTACACTGCCTTAAGCTTTTAGAAACGACTGGGTGTTTAAGGTTAGCGATTGGTCGTATTATCTGTCTGTTATAGCTAATGAAAAAATACAATTACTTTACTATGCAAGTAAAAAAAATTGTGTTTTAATATGTATGCGTTTTTATTTATTTTATTTATGACCCCTTTATAACATATGCTACAGGCCCCGCACGAGCTTAATTAGGCACTGGTCTGCTGTCGTTATTCTATGACTCGAGAACGAGAGTAGGACACCGAGGAGGGGAATGGGAAGCAGGGAATACAATAATTGGGGTTTTGTGAGGATTGCTAAAGAGAAAGTGCTGTGACATCCAAGATTGGATTGCGATCTTGCAGCTAGAAATGTGAGACACGAGGTGAAAGAGGGGAAGGAGAGGAAACTATTTAAGATCGAAACAGGAGGATGTTTTCCACAATTTGGGCTGTCGCCTGATGATGCTAGTTGTGATTACCAGCGAAACGTCGTACTCCAATTATAAATGTTGTGGGTTTATTCTCCAACACACCGGTGTGCTGAACCAGTAACAAATTGGCACGTTTTGTTTACGTGACAAACCTAACTAATTGGCTGTGGTGGGTTTCAGGACAAATAATGTTTACATTATCAACCCCCAAAATACCTCGATTATTGATCATTTTGGTCGCGAAAGTCTACCAGTAGGTGAATGATGATTTACATTAAAA